TTTTAATTGATTGCTCGTTTTAAGTGCTCGTCTAGTGATAATCAAACCCCCAATCAATTGCTTAGAATGTTTAGGATTTTATTTTCGATTTTTGTGATTTGGACGATCATCTAGTAGACGAAGCTCCGAATAGCCTTCCTCCGAGATCGACCCGAGTCGGGTAACTCGGTTATCCTTTGCCCATCATTTTTATACTAAACAGTTAATATAGTTAATAATTGCAAAAAAAAAGTGAAAAAAAAAATTAAGAACTTTGGACTCATTTATCCAATCATCAAAGCATCAATAAAAGACACCAATTTGTGTCTTTTTATTCTAATGATGCAAGGATAAAACAATTAATAAATGAGTTGTCCAATATTCCTTTGCTAGCAAAATGCAATGTCAACCTTGAGTTACAACAATTCATTTAAAATGATTATTACATACACCTATCTATACAGCATTTAGTATATTTTTTTTTACATGTAGCTTGATATATATTATATGTTTGACTTGTTTTAATTACTGGTTATTAACTTATATTATATCACTGATGTCCTTACTCATATTATATTAAAATTCTAGTTATTCTCTTAGGTTGACCTAAATATTAGACCTGCATACCTATTTTACATAAATATGCATCATTTTCACTACAGAATATATCCTGTTTTAAATAATAATATACATATAATTATAAAATATAATATTTAATAGTGTAATACAGATTCAAGAACATATATCATTGCGTGGAACATTTCATCATAAGCACTATAAATAACTAAATAAGTGTACAATATTTTTAACACTTTCAAATAAGTCAACTTTGGCAAGGGTAAAATAGGGATTTAAATAATCTAATCAAGTCTACTCTCTCTAGTTGTCAACTTTGGCAAGGGTAAAATAGGGATTTAATATAACCAAGTCGACTCTCTAATTTTTATATTCAAGTCAAACATAGGCTCGAACTACTAAACTCGTTAACTAAATGAATCTGAATTCATTTTGTTTTATTAATAATAATGAATTGAATTATAAATATATATATATATAAATAAAATTATTTTGGTGTTAATAGTCAGAACTCACCCACGAGACATTTCATTTAATATTTATAAATTAAAAATATGAAATCAATATGTAAAATAATTTATTTATATTAATTTATTGAAAATATTATATAAAATTTAAGTTATGCAAAATTACATAAAAATGTCGATTACAAATTAATATACAACTCGTACGGTATATAACTGATAATGAATTACATTATATTCGTTTCAATAAAATTGTCATTTCAAAACTTTTATTCAAAAATTCGATTTGACTATAAGGTGATTTCATAAAATAATTATTTTGATAAAATTTTGCCATATAATTATTCCGGGCTGGACCCCATGGGCTCGAAGTAGGAGTTTCGGGCTTTTACCTCCAGGGGCCTCATGGCCGCTACGTATTTGTTGAGCAGGCTCCTGAGGTAGGTGAGCTTGCGCGGCTATATTTTCTGGAGATGGGCTGTTTGGTGGTGATACGGGCTGATGAAGACATTTTTGGAAAAAAAATTTAAGAAGTGAATTAATGTGAAATACCTTTATTCGCCAAATATCACTAATATTTTATTATGTTAAATTTATTTAATTAGAAAACTTTATGAAAAAAAATATATGGTATTTTGTTGTCACAATTAGTTATATGTTGTTGTTTTTTAAGTCACTGATCCCTGTTGTTTGATTATTGTTATTTTTTATGATAATGGTGATAATGAATACAATTCATCAGCTACTAATAATATACACAGAAAAATATTTTAAAATATAACACATAATATCTTTTCATCAACGTCAATTTTTTTTTTAGTACAAAAAAAGAAGGCAAAGCCTAAAGATCGCTAGAGCGGGACACGACGTGGATAAGCCACGCCGACAATATCATGCATCAGCCATTGCCCGAGCTCCGTGGGCGGGTCCAGAAGTCGATGATGGCCCACTGGGACATCAGCATCAAGCGTCGCTAACGTATCAGCCGAGAAATTCCCTTCCCTATGAACATGGGATAGATGAACCACCCATTCCTGCTTTACGAAATCCCGAATGGCCTGAATAATATGATCGTGGGCCCCTACGATCTCTTCATCACCCTGAACAATAGTAACCACACTAAGACTGTCCACTTCTACGAGTACCTGTCTCGCACCTAACTCCCATGCTAAATGAAGCCCTTGAAAAAGTCCCCATAGTTCGGCAGCCGTGATGGTGCAACATCCCACATTCATGAGAAAACCACCCAACCAAGCTCTGCGAAAGTCCCTAGCGAGGCCTCCGGCACTGCCTCGTCCCGAAGCGGAACAAAACGCCCCATCCGTGTTAATTTTAATCCACCCGGGTGGAGGAGCTGTCCAGTGTATCATGACCGACTCATAGCGCCGAGCTCGAACACCCAGTACGACTCAAGCGCCGAGCTCAAACGCCCGTGTTAATTTTAGCATCAAGTTGCGCAACGCGCAAGTACTAGTTATGGCTCAAACATCTGCTCCAACTGCATAAAAATCTAACCTAACATGCAACTACTTAAATAAGAGAGAATACAATTATATTTCGTGTGCGGATGTTGTCTTTCTTCCTCGAGTGTCCTTCTCTTTGTCCATATGGCGATTCCATCTCCTTTTCTATCTATAATATGCCTATATAAGTAAAAAAA